TCCTCCTTTAACTTTTGATGTTAGGTATTTTGTTTCAGCAACAAGAGAAAAGTAAGTAAGACACTCTTTTGTAAGTGCTAGGGTTGTGTAGGTTTCTATGTGCTTAGTAGTGCTAGGTATTGCATTTCCTTCTTACCATGTTGCATTATATTCTCCCACATGAAGGGTTGTTTTGTAGAGTTTGCTAAATTCATGTTCCTGTTAGATCATAAAGTGCCTTTAATCTCCCTGCATGTCTTCTCAATTTGCATTTAAATTTCCTCCCAATATTATTTTTTACTTTCCCCTATCACAACCTCTCAAATTTCCTTTCTTGTCCTTCCTCTATAATATGCAAATGATATTTTTCTTTCTCTTTAAGAGTGTATCTGTGAGACATATGTGTATGTACAACCCTGTGTGACTGTTGCTTGACTGGTCAGATCCTCTCTCACTACAGGTTCTTTCTTGTGTTTTCTAACATTGTGTTTTTGCTAGATTCTCTCACTTCTTATACATATATATACATATATATATACATATATGTATATATGTATGTATATATATTCTTCCCTTTGCTTCTTTCTTTCTTCCCCTTCACATAATCACTCACATATTTAATTCCTTCACAATTCTTTCCAACATCAGAAAAAAATATTTTAAACAGACCAGAGAACCTTCTCCAAAATAGACCACATTTCAGGCCTTAAAGAATATATCAATAAATACTAAAGAATGGACATAATCTCATGTGTCCCATTCAATCTCCATGTAATAAAACTAGAGATAAACAGCATAAGGATCCAGAGAAACTAAACAAACTCAGAAAATTTTCAAAATGTACTTCTGAAAGATCAGTGGTTCATGGAAGAAATCAGAGAAGAAATATAAAAATTCCTAAAATAAAATGACAATGGAAGTACAACTAATCTCAGTCTGTGGGACACAATGAAAACAGTTCTAAGAGGAAAGTTTATAGGAATGAGTGTCTAATCTAGAAAAACAGGGCATTAAAAATAAATAACTTAATGATATATCTCAAGGTATTAGAAAAAGAAGACTATCCCAAACCCCAAATTATTGTAGGAGAAAGAAATAAGCTATAAAAAAATTAAAGTATAAATTACAGACCAAATGCAATATGAAAGATCGATAAATGAAATCATCAAATACTGTCTTTTAAATGATAAATAGAGAAAAACTTAACCAAGATTGACAAAAGAAAGAAGACAGAAACCAATATAATTACAAATGCAAAAGATGAATTCAAAACAGATGCTACTGAAAATCAGCATTATTAGAAACTTTATTAGAAACTTTTTATTGATGATGGCAAAGTTTATTAAAGTTGTGTAAAAAAAAAGGATAGAACAACATGTGTTCTTCAGAGTGAGTTTGAGGCCAATAAAAATAGGAAAAAAGGGAGGAAAATTAAAATTACACCCTCCAGTGTGGCATGGGTTACTTTAAAGAGACATAATAGCAAACAATGGTGATGATCCCTCTTTATATTTCTTTATATTTCCTGGCCCAGACTGAAATTCAAGTTATTATAACAAGAACTTGCTTGAGTTTTTGCTGTAGAAACTGTTTTTAAAAAACTTTCCCCTGTAAAACAGATAATCTGGAATAAACAGATACATTTCTAGATTAATAATTTATAAAATTGATCCTTGAGTATATGAAAACCCTGAAGAGATAAATTACAAACAATTAAAAGAAGACCATAATAAAAACTTTAACATTTTCCTACAAATGAATCTATTTTCTCATTCTTAATGGCTGAGTAATATTCCATTTTATAGAAAAACCACGTCTTCTTTATCCTGTTTCCAACTGATGGGCAAATGGGCTGTTTCCAAGATTTAGCTATTACAAACTGTGCTGCTATAAATATGGGTGCATACTTCTCTGTGATATGATTCTTTTCATATTGAAGATATACTCCTAAGTGAAATAAATAAGGCACACATGTGTAAATACCTAATAGTTTCTCTGGTGTGAATAATCTGCAATAATACAGAAGATCCTAATAAGATTACTGACATTTAGAAATGGGAAGAAAGGAGCTAAAGGTGTAGGGAAGGTGGGATGGGTAGGGGAAGGGTAATAAGGGAAAAGAAAAAATGTGAGATAATGAAAAGATGAAAATAAAGTGTTTGTAAGAGGGGAGGGGGGGGTGAAGGGAGGGCAGGGACAAGGGGAAAAAATGAGAACCAAGACCTGCCATTGTAAAGGTACAAGTTGCAATAATAAATGTAACTGTAGTGTATACCTAAAATGTACCAATAAACTCAATAAAAAGAAAAGAAAAAAATAAAAAATAAAAAAATAATTAATACCTATACTCCTCAAAATTTTCATGTAATTAAAAGGAAAGGAATGTTTCAATACTCATTATGTTAAGCCAGCCTTACCTTGATACCAAAAGTGGGCAAGAACTCAATTATAAATAGAAAATAGGTGCTTAATCTTCAATAGGATACTTACATACAGAATTTTAAAACTCATTAAAACTATAATATACCATGAACAAAATTTCTTCACCCCTGGGATGCAAGAATTATTCAACATGTGTAAATCAATAAATGTAATACATTGCACAGATAGTATCAAGGATAAAAATCACATTATCCTTTCAGTAGGTACAAAAAGGCCTTTGACATGATAGAAGAAACACTCTGATCCAAATAAATATAGAAGGACATTATCTCAAAACAATAGCAGCTATACATGCAAATTTGTAGCTAACTTCATGCTGAATAGGGCAAAACTGAAATGCATTTCACCCAAAAGCACAAATGAGGCAAAGATGTTCACTCTCACCACTTCTGTTTAACATTGTACTGAAAACTGTAGCCAGATCAACCAGGAAAGAGAAAGAAATAAATGGGATATTAATAGGAAAGGAATAAGTCAAACAATGTGTACCTGCAGGTTATATGATCCTTTAAATATAAGATTGAAAAAACTCTACTAGAAGACTCTTCCATTTGATAAGCAAATTCAGCAAAGTGTCAGGTATAAAATCAGTACAAAAATCAATAGCATTCCTGTACTCCAAAAGTGAACCCACTGAGAAATTATGAAAACAAACCCCATTCACAATAACTCCAAATAATTAAAAATCTAGGAATAGAGCCAACCAAAGAAGAAAAAGAACTCTATAATGAAAACTACAGAATTTTGAAAAAGAAGTTAAAGAGGATCTTAAAATTATTTGGCAATACATCCCTTTTTCTTTGGTAGGCAGAATGAATACTGCAAAAATGACCAAATTACCAAAAAATATATAGATTTATTTATTTTCATTTTTTGTATATATTTACTCTTTTATTTTAATCTTCTAAATTTTCATTAGTATGTGTATGCAGTACATAATAATATACATCATGCGAATTTGAGCACATACCTAAAACAAAAAATATATAGATTTAATGCCATCCCTATTAAAATAGCTACAATATTTTTCACAGAACTAAAAAAATTAATCCTAACTCCTACAATGAACACTATAATTCACTGATGAAATTATTCAAAATAGTACAAAATAATCAGAATCAATCTTATATTTATAGGTTAGAAGAATTAATATTGCTAAAATTTACATGCTACCCCTAGCAACCTATGGACTCAATGCAATTGTCATCAAGATACAAATTGCACCTTTCAAAACAGTTCTAAAATTTGTATGGGTGCATAGAATTCATATAGCCCAAATCCTCTAAAGTAAAAATAACATAACAGACAAAATTATATTACTTGATTATAAAATATACTGCATACCATATCCAGTAATCAACGCAACATTGTGCTGTCATAAAAACAGACACATAGGCCACTGGAATAGAAAAAAGAACCTAGAGGTAAACCTATATATTTACAACTAACTTTTTTTTAACATAAATTCCCAGGACATGCAGTGGGGAAATACTGACTTTGCCATAAATTATGCTGAGAAAAGTGGATGTTGATGTGCACAAGATTAAATACAAATGTGCATCTATACCCACTTACAAAAATCAACTCTAAGTGGATGGTTTCAGAAATAAAAACTACTAGAAAAGCAAAAGGATAATGCTAGCAAGAATTTTGAGAGCAGAGACTTTTCCACTCTGCTGTAGGAATTCAAATACATATAGGCAATTATGGACAATGATATACCAAAAGTTGAAAAAAGGAAACTTTATGATCCATCAATCCCACTGCTGAATATATATCCAAAAGAAATAAAATCATTCTATGGAAGAGAAATACTGCATGTATTGCAGAACTATTCATGATAGTCAAAACATAGAAATAACCTAGGCATCCACCACCTGGTAAATAGACAATATATCTTACATACTCAGTGCAATATTATTCCGACATAAAAATGAAGAAATCCTCTTATTTGTAAGAACAATGGTAGAAATAGTGATTTTAATATTAGTGAAATAAGCCAGGAAAAAGTACCACATAATCTCACTTATTTGTGATATCTAAGAATGCTGATCTAATAGAAGTTGGTAACCAGAACCTAAGAAATATATGGGAGGGAAAGATGGCAAAATTTGTATCAATATCTGTAAGTTACAGTTAGATAAATGCAAGAATTTCTGGCATGTAAATTTCGAAAACTGAAAGAAAGAAAATTGAATTTTTTGGGGGGGAGTACTGGGATCACACTCAAGATCATGAGTTTCTGAGGAAGGAAGCAACACCACCGAGCTAAATCCCTCGCCCAGAATATTGAAATTTTTAATTATAAGACATGATAGATATTAGAGAAGACAATATGTTTATTATTTAAACATCACACAATATATACATGTATCAAAACACCATATTGTACCTCATTAATAAATATAATTTTTGTTCTTGTTTTTCTTAAAAATGTTTATGTAAATCAATAAAAAGAAATAACTAGGCTCTGAAACATGACAAGTAGAAGACTTAATCTTAGACAAAATAAACATCATGGGGAACATGCAGAGATCATTTCTTGTTCTGAACAACTAACTTAGTTATTAACCTTTCAGGTGTGGTTCCCAACAAGGGTCAGTTCCCCATGGCTGGGGAAGCCCAGGAGCAGTTCCTGTGTACTGGTCCAATGTGTCGCTATGCAGAAGACCTGATCCCAATGCTGAAGGTCATGGCAGGACCAGGGATCAGAAAGTATGTTCATCTCTTTATTTTCTCTCTTATGTCCTGACATTTATTCTTGCATTTTTATTGGTAACATGGAGATATGCTTCTAGTCTACAAGCAATAATTACTAGATTTTTAAAATGAGAACCTTAAAATAAGTGTATCCCAAGTGGACAATATATTGTGTAAGATATTTTAGTGACAAAATAACAATAAAGGAAGGCCTCACTTCATGGTGGAAACAGTGAATCTTTTGATCATTTGACAGTTTATGTATAATGACTCATTTTCCATTAAATTGAACTTTTCAGGTTCTGTCATCTGAAATAACACATATTTTCCAGTCTCATCTGGGACATTGATGTTGCCTAGAAATCTGTTGCTCTGGAAAACTTTAATCACATTATCTACAGCAGTGATTTAAGATCATGTGTATTTCCAGCAAAACTGTGATCTCATCATCCTCTTCACATGCAACTAAATAGTACCATATCTTACCTTAGAAAGAAAACAATCTGTGTAGAATATATATTTAAGTTTCTTACCATTAAATTTTCCTAGGTCTCCATCCAATTCTTCCTTTTTATCTTCCTTAGTGACAATATCTTTTCTTTTGTCTTAGTTTATAAATACTTTTTTTTCAGTTTTAATTGAGTTTATTGGTACATTTTAGGGATACAGTACAGTTACATTCATTGTTGGGATCTTGTACCTCTACATGACAAGTCTTGATTCTCATTTTTTCCCCTTACCCCTGCCCTCCCTTCACCCCCCTCCTGCCCTCCCCATTTAGAGAAATCTTTTTTATCAGCCCCATATTCTCCTTTCAACTGCCATATTTCCCCCCAAATATGAGCAGATCTTTAATTGATTTTTGCTTCAAAAATTCAAAAGGGCTTATTTTCAGAGAATGCCTTAATTTTCATATACAACAATCTACATTTATTCATGTGAAACAATCCACATTTATTGAGGTACAAAAATCTACAGTTTTTCAAATACAGTCATATAATCTTCTCTAGAGCATTGTTATAACTCCCCAAAATCCAATTTGAATTTCTTGCAACTCCATTTTCTGTAGAACAAATGGCCCTAGTATCTTAAACTCAGCAGTAGAGCTTTCCTTAAATGAGCACTTCATGTCCATGTAGCCTGCTTGTATCACATTGGAAACACACCTGTTGATGATTTTATTCCATGAATTCTTCAGCCAAATCAGGACCTCTTACAGGCACTGTTTCCATTAAATCAAGTGTAAGTTGAAGACTTACAAGACAGAAGTGGCAACAAAAAAGATGATAGCCATACAGATGATAGTCCATGAAAAATTGCAGGCTCCAAAATTCAGAAAACTTTTCTTTAGTTTACATGAGTGCACTGACTGCTTATGTTACAACACACATCTTATTGAATTAAGAAGTTTTCATGAAAAATACAATAGTAAAAAGGAAAATCACATTTTGGAAAAAAAGTGTCAGTAGTGAAAATCAGTGTGAGGTGGGGTGGGAAGTAAGAGGACAAAGCAAAAATACATATTTAAAAAGTTTAAAATTCAGGAAAATGAGGGCATGATGCCAAAAAGTGTCACAGATTACTCTTGCATTTTCCTGAAAATAAGACCTAAGTGGAAAATAAGCCCTAGCATGATTTTTACTTATATTATAGACTCTAATACAAAAACAATCCCCATTTAAGATCATCAGCCAAATGGAAACATTTAATATGTCCATTGCCATAGTTTAATATATAAATAATATTTTTGACAATAATACTTACATGAGGATATCAATTATTTAGTACTTGTAAATACTCAAGCAGGTGCCTTTGTAATGAGAGATACACACTTACGTAAACAAGTAAACTTGGGACTTATTACCTAATGTCTAATCAAAGTATAGACACAATGCACAAATAATGTGCACACTTGAAAATGAACAGATGCAGTTGAGTCTAATATTAATCTTCATAATTTAATACATCGTGTGTTGCAACAACAGGTGTACTTAATTCACTCATATAAAATAAACATACATTTTCTGAATTTTGATGGCTGTAATTTTTTGCTGCTTTTGTGTGGACCATTATTAACTGTCATCATTTTTGTTGCCATTCCTGTCTCTTAAGTCTTCCATTTACACTTGTTTTAATGGAAACATTGTGAAGCCTCACTTGCAAGAAGTCACAACTTGGGTGAAGATTCATGGGATGGAATCACTGACAAATATGTCACAATGCACTATGAGCAGGGTACATGGACAAGACATGCTCATTTAAGGGGAGCTGTACTGATTTTTTCATTCAATTTCTAATTTTGACTCATTCCAAACCTTTTCTCCCCTTCAGACAGAATTATATTATTAAATGCAAATTTGAAATCTAAAGGAATATCACTGTTTCTGGAATATAGTTCTGTGGGGGAAGACCCATTATTATTGAAATGTAATTTTTAAGACTGAACTAGTAAACATATAACAAAGCTTATTGTTATTATTTTCTTGAAAATTCTCCACAGATTAAAACTGGATGAAAAAGTTCATTTAAAGTACTTGAAATTTTACTGGATGGAACATGATGGAGGCTCATTATTAATGTCCAAAGTAGAGCAGGATCTCATTGAGGCCCAGAAAAAGGTAATTTTAAATAGAATGTGTTTAGTAGAATTTATATATACTCAGAATAAGTATGTGGGCCATCTCCATCCCTCCTAATATATTGGCAGAAAAATACTATTTTTAGGACAGAAAGATTATATTTCACAGGAACTAATATCAAATTGTTAATTTTTATCATGTAAGTTGAGAAAATGATGTTAATCTTGTGCTAAGAGGTTAAACAACCAAGAAGAAATGTTAGTTTTAATATGAGTCAAAATATTTTCAATGATTTAATATTTTAAAATGTCAAAATTACCCAATTATTTTAACCATTTCCCTAAAGTTAATAGTTTAATTAGCTGTATAATGTATTTAAATATTCCTATTAGTTTTATTACTTTATATAAAAATTGGAAGTTTAATCACTTCCAGGTTCAATAAAAAGAGCTCTTTTGAAGTACTAACTGGTATTTCTATCTATTTCTAAGGCTGAAGCAAAATGAAGTTAGGATATTAAAATTTATTTTGGATATTTTATGGTTTATATCTTTTATCCATTATTTTATAGTAATATGTAATACTTTTACCTGTTTTGTATAAAAGTAGACCAAGGCCTTGTATGTTACTAGATTACATTTTTAGATGTAAACTCTTTTTCAAACATTCACCAAAACAATTGGGAAAACAGTACAAAATTCATGAGTACTACTTTGTATTTGAACACAAATTCTCATTATCATTATCTGATATTAGTGTGTTTTATGTGCTATTGTAAATATTTGTATGCAACTTCTTAATAGGCCCAAATTTTCTTCACAATTAGATGATTAATAAAGAGGACAAAGATAATATTTTGGCTTGTGAGAAACTGCAAAACTAGTTTGATCCGCAGTACCAAAAAAATAAATAAATAAATAAATAAAGAAAAAAGAAACTTCAAAACTATGTTCCACAGTTGTTGTATTAAGGTAAGACAGCAAAAATAATATTTCTGATTATCTGGCATAAAATAAAGGATATTGTTCACTTTCCTGATAAAAACATATACATACACACATGCATATATATGATATAATGAATAATACATATGTAAATATTGAGAGAGAGAGAGAGAGAGAGAAAGGAAGAATTTGTAGAGATCAAGGCAAGAGTTAATGTTGCAGCTTGAGTCCTAAGGTGATACATAGCAGAATTCTTTTTTTCTATAAGGAATTAAATCCTGTTTTTTACTTAATGCCATGATCTGGTTGAATGAGTAATATCCACATTATTGAATTTAATCCATTACTCAAAATTTGCTGATTAAATATTAATTTCATCTCAAATATGCCTTTATATGGAATTTGACCAAATATTTGGGTACTATAGTGTATCCACTTTGCACATACTATTAACTAATAGAGCTTTTTCCTTTCCCTATGTGATACCCAGACACATTCCCTTAAGCCATAATTAATCTGCAAATAAAGACAATAACACTGGTGGAGCCAAATAGCACCTAACTCACAGATAAAAGCAATGGATTCCTTGGAATCAGGAGAAAATTTGCACTGTATTGGAACAGACTCAAGTTTATGACTGTTATGATCAGTTCTTGCAAGCACCCCACAGAATGTGCATTCCCTACATTGTGAACTAACATGTGACTTGCCTGTATGTCAGCTTTGGCAGCAAAGGGACTGCTTCTACCACTACTTCATCATCATTGTACAAAAAAATGAGAAGAAAGATTCCATGTACAGGGGAGTAAGGCAGGAAAATCAGTACTTTACCTTGGGGCTCAATGCCATTCCTGACATGATGAGACATAGCACCAAACAAAACACAAATATTCCCAGCACTGGGCCAATAACCACAGGTAAAGCCTTTAAACCTCCCCTGACAGTGAAGACCTATGCTCTGCTAAGACAGACTTATGTTTCAGCCTGAAAAACTGCCAGACATGTATATGGCATTTACACCGAGCACTGCAGAGGTCCCTGTGAATACAAGGCTTGGTTATGATTAAGCTTGTCATCAGCTGGGCTGGACAGGCTTCCCCAACTCTCCACCTCAACCTCAGTCACAGTAAATAACAAGACTTCATCCATTTGAGAGTAGGACAGGAAAGTAAGCAGAGTTATCTTGGAATTCAATATTGGTCTTATAAAACCTAGCACTGGGTGGATCCTAATGATCCAAGTCCACAGGTCAATACCTGTGATGGATCTTCTAGACATGCTGTGATGTTGATTGGAGGAGATCTGGACATGCTATGATATTGACTGAAGAGCTGCTGTCCCAAGTGATTTATTTAAACTTCAGATATAAGCAGATGTTCTGGTATGAATAAAATATAATAATACATAAGGTCCTAATGATATAATGGACAATGTGAAATAGGAAGAAAGGGGCTAAAGGTGTAGTGAAAGTGGGAAGGGTAGGGGAAAGGTAATAAGGGAAAATAAAAATATGAGAAAATGAAAAAATGGAAATGCATTTGTAAAGGGGGAGGAGAGGAGGGGAGAATGGAGGGTAGGGAGAAGGGGAAAAAATGAGAACCAAGACCTGTCATGTAAAGGTACAAGATCCCAATAATGAATGTAACTGTACTGTATACCTAAATGTACCAATAAACTAATGAGGAAAAAAAAAAAGAAATAAGATTCTATGAGTGCAGTTATCTTTAGCTCTCCACCTCAGGAGCAAGCAGCTCATGGCAGCATAGGTCTTGATCTTACCTTAGGGCTATATCATCATCATCATCTGTGTGATCTGAGTATGATCTAGCATTGTGGTGTTTGTGGCCACAGACCTTATCAACGTATAACCCCAGGCAGCCCATAAAGACAGTAATTGTCCATTTATAAGAATAAAAGATAGGGGACAGAGGTCTATGCCTATGAGCCTGGGTATGTTCTCTTTGCGGAAGTCCCAGAGCCAGGCAGATTGTCATGATACAAAACAACAGTCAAGTGACTATGGATCCAGCATATGTCAACATCTTAGTCCTAGGTAGAGGCTTCTGGTACTAGATTACCTTTTCTGAACACTATCACAGTTCAGTTGGAACAGCACATAACTGAAGATTTAGGACAATCAAGGACTTGGAATATGCTCTAGTCCCGAAAAAGCAAACCAGAATTTAGAGCATCATCTAATACTGAAATATAGGAGGTATGTTAAGACTCAAAGAAAAGGACACTGTTTCTAGGTTTTAAAAAGGCACACACAAACAAACCCAGACTATAAAGACTGAAATGAATGTCTAACCCCTATATTTGCAAGTGAAATTATATGCTAACATAATAAAAACATTTTCAGAGAAACATCATTTCACGAAAAAAACAACACAAAAATGCAATGCCTAAAACAGACCCAATTAGTAACTTTTATTTGAAAACTCAGATAAAGAATTCAAAGTAATTGTTTTAGGAAACTGTAGTTCAAAGGAACACTAAGCAATTATTTAAAGCTGTAGAAAAGAAAAAAAAAGACTAACAGATTCCTGGAAGCAATTTAAAAACAAATCACTAAACTAAAAATGTAAAAACATGATGGAAGGCATCAATAGCAGAATATATCTAAAATAAGGAAGAATTAGTGTGTCAAAGGCCAGCTATTCAAAATGATATTTTCAGTGTAGAAAAACTTTTTAAAATTGAAAAGACTGAATAAGGTTATGAAAGTCTGGAACAAAATTGAAGGTATCCATCATCAAGGTATTGAGATACAAGAGGAACATGGGAATGACTAAGTATTAGAAAGTTTATTCAGAGAAATAACAGAAACGTTCATGAATCTATAGAGGAAATAAGTATTGACATACAGAAATGTTAAAGGTAATTAGGTTCAACTCAACAAAATCTATTCCAAGACATATTCAACCTCTCAAGATTTAAAAAGAAAGAATTCCTAAGATAACAGCTGTAAAGTAATAATACATAAGGGCATTTCAGTTCTCCTGAGAGCAAACTTCTCAGCAAAAATCTTACAGATTAAAAAACGTTATATGAGCCTTTCAGAGTACCATAGAAATTTACCTAACAAAGAACACCATATTTAATAAATTTATCCTTTGATACAAAAATAAAGATATTACTAGACAAATTAAATTTAAAGAATATTCCACCACAATTTACACTATAAATATACTATTTTCACTATATTGGTTCTTCCTATCCAAGAACAAAAGATATCTTTCCATTTGTGATACACTCTTTGATCTCTTTTTTCAGGGCACTGTAGTTTCCAGTGTAAATGTTTTTTTTTAAATTTCCTTCATTAAATTGATTCCTAAGAATTTCATTTTTGATGCTATTATGAAAAATGTGGTTTCCTTCATTTATCTCTCAATGATTTTTATTGTATTAGTATAGGAATGTTGTCAATTTTTTAGTATTGACTTTGTATCCAGTTATGCTACTGAATTTGGTTATTAAGTCTAGAAGTCGTTTGGTGGAGTTTGCGGGGACTTCTATGTAGAGTATTGTCATTCACAAATAATGAAAATTTAACTTCTTCTCCTATCCTTATTTCTTTTATTACTTTCTCATGTCTAATTACTCTGGACCATATTTCCAGAATTATATTTAATAGGAATGAGGATAACAGATTTCTATATTCCAAAGATTAACACTAGACTCATATTGCTCACTACCCACTAAACTAAAATCAGAATGAATTAAAGACCTAAATATCAAAATAGAAACCACAAATCCCTAAACTTATTGGAAGAAAGAGAAGGTAGAACTCTTTTCTTTTTTTTTTTTTTTTTTTTTTAGAATTCACTATGTAGCCCAGGCTGGCCTCACACTTGCAGCAATCCTTCTGACTCAAAAGCCCAAACACTGGATTACAGGCATATGACACCATTCCTGGCCTATAAGTCTTGAAGACATAGGTGTAGGCAAAGACTTTATGAACAAAACCATGATCACATAGGAAATAATACAAAGTATCAACAAATGGGATCTAATTTATTAAAAAGCTATTGCACAGAAAACAAAACCACTAACAGAGTGAAGAATCAACCCATACAGTGGGGAAAAATTTTA